CAGATTAAACATGCCCAATATTTAGTTTCTTTCTTTGCCACTACCATTTTGTTTCTGTTTTGGGAAAGCAATACAATATTGTCTCTCTCGCATACCTTTTTGAATAAGGCCATATGTAAATTCCAACGATGAATTCGTGATTAGGGCTTATACCAGCAAAAAACAAAAAAACAAGCAGCAGCATGTTTTCTCATGCCCTTGTGTGATCTTTGCAAACATCTGTGCACTTCCCTAAATCCCATCAACATTCCATTATGCAAACACATTATATGGGAATTCTTGTTGTAAAGCACATCAAACACACTTCAAAACCCATGGAAAAAAAAAAGTCATAGAATGCACATGAAGTGGTGTTTTTTGATTCATGGAGCCTACATTTTCCAACTGCTACATTCTTTGCAAAGAAATCTCAATATGTGCCCTTTGGGCCATTTCTGCAGCAACTCTCCATTATACTAACGGATTGGATAACAAACATTTTCTCCATCCCAGTAAGAGCTCACATACATAGATGGAAGTCCTAGTTACAATGGACATGATCTTGCATTCCTTGTGCACCTAAAACTTCTTTTGAAGTCACTGATAATTCTGGGTGTGTAAGGGATATAGCAGTGGAAACTGAAGTAAGCAAGCATTTAATGTGACAAAAGTGAAGGAGTCAGATTTAACACGTGTAGCTCTATAATTGTTAGTTCAGAATAAAAGTGAGAGCAGTCACTAACAATTAATAGAGCTACATGTATTAAATCTGACTCCTTCACTTTTGTCACATTAAATGCTTGCTTATTTCACTTCCCACAAGGGCTGCTGCATTCCTTCACACCCAAAATTATCAGTGACTTCAAAAGAAGTGTTGAGAGTGCAAGCTCAATTCCATTGCAATTAAGACTCCAATCTGCATATGTGGGCTCTTATATCCACACAGAGTACATCCAAGATAAGTAGAGCTTGATCATGGTGCAAGGGTCTATGTGTGTGAATACAATTGCAGAACTATGATTCAACTGTGCATGCATCGCTCACATGTATGTATATTGACGGTTATACGCATCATGGGGCAAGTCCACAAGAATAATTTTCCTTCTTGAAACATTCAACAGTTAGTAAGTGTGTGCACAAAAAAAGTCACATACTTATTATCAGAAAAGTTGCATGAGATTGTATACAATGCCTACAACAAATAATTCTGTTAGTTTTTAAGGTTGCTAGATTTTATAGCTCAATATCACAAACCATAAATAGCAGGGTAATAAGCAGTTGTACAGACACCCTCTCCCAATAAAAGCCACCACCCCAATTCCATATGATCATGCACAGGTACACTGTCCCACTGACTTCAGCAGAAGTCTGTGTAACAGTGCACCTACAGACAGTCAAATGCAGGATCAGGACCCAAATACTTCAATACTTGTAATGTATTTGTAAAACTGATGCAGGATTAGATATAACCTGCCAATTTGTGTCAGTGAATGTCTGCCATACTTCCAACTAACAAAGACTGAAAAATCTAATCAAAGGAGTTAGCTTAATCCACCAATTGTGTGTGACTGACACACTGATGATAGCTCCAAGTCAAAGCTGAGCACACTAACAGGGTGGCATAGGGAAGCTTATAATGCCACAGCTGTACACCTATTTCATGAATAAACATAGGATTAAATCAACAGGATTGTCAATACAGCACCTTTTCGCCATCATAAAAATTACTTCATAATAAGTTTAAATATTTTTAAAAGGTGAAGAAAACATTATAGAGGCTGCACTAATTTTAAACTCTACATTCCTTTTTATTTTGGGATTACAATGAAACTAAACTCAATTAGGAAGTACGAACCAATGCACCAGTAAATTGCTAAATGTTATAATTTTGAAACATCCAAGTATAAATAATCAACTAAGTGGGAAAATTGTCAGCACATGTTTGCTATGGATAAAGTGCCAGGTGAAATAGATTTGCCTTTGTAATAAGAACGATGGTCTTGTCATTAGGACACCGCACTGTGACTGAGGAAATTTGGGTTGAATTCTCAACTGTGGGTAAATCCATTCATCTCTCCTTGCCTGAGTTCTTCATCTGTAGATTAGGGATAATCCTTCCCCACCTCATCGGAGTACTGTGAGGATAAATTTGTTAGTGTCTGTGAGGCACTTGGACACTAAACTGATGAGGGCCATGTAAAAAATAAGACTATAATAAACGGTATCTTTCTCCCTTTTTCAGACGCAATTAAAAAACACCTGTTGGATCAGGAGTTGTAAGACTGATGTTGAGAGTATTTTCTACCAATAGGAACTCTAGAAATAGTTTCTTAAACTACATGAAATATATTTCTAGATTTTAAAATGTTATACTGAGTCTATTTGAAATCTTTTAGAAAAGTTAGTGTAACAGGTTTTTTGCATTTAAATTTAAATACAAACATTTTTCACTTCAGTTAAAAGTTAAAACATTCTAATATACCAAAACAAGTGCCTTTTAAAAAGAGAAAGTGAAGAGAAAATGTCTATACACAAAGATTTATTTAAAACCATCAAGAATAATTATAAGTTTATCTTACAGAAATATTTTTGGGCCCATCTATTTCGTATAGAAGGAAATGGAATAAATACACCAAAATAACTTTGGAATGTCACAAAAGAAAAAAAGGTCAGTACTCTGCGTATTATGGAATTGCACGTGGGGGTGAAGGAATTTGGAATACAGTGCGTGCCTAGTCTTCTGGAGAATGTTGTTTTCTCTCAAAGATTTTGAACAGTAGGTGTTAAAACAGCAGAAAAACCCATTCAATAATAACTTCTGATTTCTCTGTCAGGTCTAAACTAACTATTTCAGGACACGGACTCTTCAAATTAGGGTCCCTGTCCTGGAAGCTTTTATGCATGTGTATAACTTTACACAAGGGAGTAGTCCAGAAGTCAATGAGATGTGCATGAAGTTATGCATGTGCTTAAGTGCTTGCAGGATCAGGGTCTTACAAATACAGACATTTGTCCAATTCTGATCTGTCAATTTACTTCATATAGTGAAGATGTCAAAGCTGACTGCACGCTTTTAAAAAAGCAATCTACATATTTGTATCTTCCCCTTAACGGCCCTTGGCTTCTTGCACCCTACTTCCACTTCACAGTGCTTCACAAGTCCTATAAATTTCACCATTGGAATTAGAAAAGACAATACAGGTCTGTCTCATCTTACGCGGGGGTTCCGTTCCGCGGTTAGCGCGTAAAGCGAAAACCGCGTATAGCCAAAATTCCATTGAGTTCAATGGCAGGCGAAATCGTCCGCACTACAGGTATAGTATTAAAATTATTATTTTTCCTCTTTTTTTTTTTTTGCCGACCGCGTAAAGTTGAAATTGCGCATGTTAAATGCGCGTAAGATGCGACAGACCTGTACATATTGCAATGCATAAGACAAAATCATGTGTGAATTCTAGAAGGGACACCAAATCTTTTATGGACAGATTTTTATCCAAGCCATGCAAACCTTCTAAATACAATACTTAGTTTTAATAGATTTTATTTTTCTGTTAAAGAAAAAGAAAGATGCCAAACTAACCCTTTATTATGTATATTTTGACAATACATAAAGGAAGCTATGGAGTAACCATTACCTTCAGAGAGTCCACGAATACAGATTCAAGTACAAGATTTAAATATGGTTTGTTACATGTAGCCTCAGGCATTTATAAAAAGCATTTAATTATTTAAAATCCTACTTAATGACAATAGCTGATTAAACGCTCACCCTAAAATATCCAATGAAAAGCAAGTCTGTGTGTATTTGTGTACCAGTCAACAACTCAACTAAAATTAAAATACAGCAGTATGAGGGTTGAAAGTTTCTTCAGCAATATCCATAAACAAGTGATGTCATGTCATCATTAACAAATATTAGAGAAAAACAAATATTTCAATTTTTCTTTGTCTCTAAGGTTGCACACCGAACATAAATAATGTCTCCCCCTCTCATCTGAGCAGAGGAGCAAAAACATTTTTGCTGTATCAATTCCATAACACAGGCAACCTTACAGAGCCTACAAAATGCCATATTGCTACCTATATTAAATCATCAATGGCATCTCAGTGAGGCGGTGATTAACAATTGTTTGTCTCCAAACAAAAGGACAATAACCCCAATTGGTTTCCAGGAAGAGCCTACTTAATCTTTCTTTTAGCATTAAATTTATTATTCTGCTAAACAAAATATTTTGAAAAACTACATACACAAAGAGGTAGGAGAAAGGAATAACAAAAATATTATTCCTTACAGAGAAAACACCTCACAAAATAACAAACAAGAATCCCCACCTGGGGATTCTTGTTAAGCTAACCTTTAAAGGCTCTTATAATGAATAATTTTTATGATGTAAATTATGAGGCATTTAAAATCTCTCATTCTTTTTTCACAATTGCCCTCCTTCAAATGATCAAAATGGCTCCTGGAAAGCACAACAGCCTGCATCCAAGTGAAATTACCAATAAGTGACAGGATCAGAATGTCACCTCTTCTGCTGAAAATGACCATCCCAACCCCCGCCCCCTGCATCATTCATAACTCGCTCAGGATGTGACAGGAGCTTTAGTGCTGGGAGGGACAAGGGGGCTTTACTAGTGTTTCTATTTTCATTGGCAGATTTTGAAAGCCACTCCACACATGCCCGTGCTCTGGGAAGGTCCTGAAGCAAACCTGCCCTCCATCGCAGGAAGAGAATCCCCTTCCAACCTATCCACCGTCCTGGGGAGGAAATTAACCCCCTGCTAAACTAACCCCCTGACTCCCCAACCAACCTGCTCAACCTGGGGAGAGGCAGTTACCCCATCCCCCCTGCCAACCCCTCCAGTCCTGAGGAGAAGTGCTCCCCTCTCCCCGCAGCAGCCTCTGGCACACAACGGCCACACAGCCTCCACCTCCTCCTTGTGGGGGCCTGCGTGACACCACGGGGCTGGGGGAGGGCGGCCAGACACCACACAGCAGCATTACAAACAGCCACACCTACCTGTCTTCTCATGGTCATAGCCCACCACAATGAAATAATCAGCCAGCCTAGCCATGGCTGAGAAGAGCCTGCCTCAGCCCCCACCGCCCCTGCCACTACTGAAGCTGCTGCTGGGGAACTCAGCATCCTGCCCTCTGCTCCAGCAAGAGAAGCAGCAACAGCAGCACCTCAGCCATGTTGGACACCCAGGCACATTCTGCGCCTGCGCGCCCCCTCGGCGGCTGTACTGTGACCCCGCCGGGGCTGGGCGTGGGCTGCGGGGTTTACAAATAGCACGCGGAGCGGCGGCGCGAAGGGATGCTGTTGGGCTGTTGTCCGCCTCGCGCAGGCTAGCCTTGCCCAGCACGCGATTGAATTCGGGACGGGCTCCCCTTTAGGCATAGAGGCAGCGGCGGGGTGCAGCGTTCTCCTGCTTTATTTGCATTTCGCGAATGCACACCGCATGGGCAAACAAATAAATATGTAAAGATTTATCCCAAAATAAACATGCTTGTTCTCATTCTGCGCTTGAATTTGAGCCCTCCCTATTACCAAGGTTGCAGCAAGGTAGTTTACCCATGCATTTTAGTGCATGCAAAAAAAAATAATGTATTTCTCTAAAATACCCACCCAAAGATCATTTTCTCTTGTAAAGGTTGCAGCAAGATGTACGTTGTTCATTCCTTGTATTTATAGTTTATTAACGCACTTTGAGTTTAACGCATGAAAACTACCAAAAAAAAAAAAAAAACCAGACGGTAACTAAGGTCTTTCTAAAATATCTTTCCTGACTTCATTAAGCGCCTAAACATGGGACCTTTTCTGTTGCAAAATTTGCAGTAAAGCGCATCATCCTCTTGTTTTGTATAATATTTTGCTAATGCGTTTATAGTTCAGTGCACGCAAAATAAATGCCTTAATATGAACGATCAGGGTATCTAAAATAACCTCCCTCAATTCGTTCTTAAGAATGGAATTTCAGTGGCCAGGAATTTCCAGAAAGTTTCCTGTTTACTTTTTCTTTTGGCTGTTAGGAACATGCTACGGTGCAGAGGGAAGCAGGCTTTCCTAAACGGAGTGCAGTTATCATGGCACAGCATTCACCAAGTCCCTTAATTATTTGTAGTAACTCTATGACTCTTATTATGCTTGCACTGAGTTGTCTCTGGCAATAATGTCAGCAGGAAAATCTGGGGCAGAAGATGTGTGTGAGAGAGAGAGAGGCAGGCTGCCTCTGGCCCAAATTGCTATTAAAATACTGTGATGAGATACGATAACCATATTGATTGAAATCTGGATGTGCCTGGATATCTTTTTCCATACATATTTATTAACAGGTTTTCCAACTTTGCTTCCCACATTTTGGCTCCATGTGGAGTACAGCTTTGGCACTGGCACCCAAGGAGGGGGAAAATCACAGGCTGGTGTCACTTTAAAATCCTCATCTGGAAGACGATTGTTGTGATTCACGTGCAGACTTGCAGTATCTCTTTTATTTAATATTGTTGGTCTTCTACTTACCCATTTGTGTGATATCCTAGCAAAATGCTATTCTTCAAGATCCTGCAGAGCGCATTTACAGTTAAGTGGAAGATTTCAGGTTGCTATTTATAGTGTGTAAATAGGACTGACACCTTTTGCTCTTATGCCAAAGCCTAATTGGCCTAACAGCCACTGCAAAGATTATGCTGATCAGTGATATGTACTGTGTCTGACAAGACATTGCTCCATTAACTGGTTGAGTGTATGCCAAAAATAGCATAATAAGATAAAAAACCACCATTTATATCCCAGACATATTCTACAGCACAATAGTAAGAACTGCAGCAGTAAGTGTTATGAATCAGTGTTTAGTTCTAATGTTAGGTTACAGCTGGATTTATTTCTCATCATCTCATCATAAATTAGGATATGGAATACAGTAATAAACATGTTTTGTATAGGAATATTATTGTCCATATCCCAGATACTGTAAAAAGCAACAGAGGGTCCTGTGGCACCTTTAAGACTATCAGAAGTATTGGGAGCATAAGCTTTCGTGGGTAAGAACCTCACTTCTTCAGATGCAAGTCTTGCATCTGAAGAACTGAGGTTCTTACCCACGAAAGCTTATGCTCCCAATACTTCTGTTAGTCTTAAAGGTGCCACAGGACCCTCTGTTACTTTTTACAGATTCAGATTAACACAGCTACTCCTCTGATACATCTCAGATACTGAATAACTACACTCTAAATTCAGAAGAGATGTAATTAGAAGCAACACTTTCCTAATATAGATGGGGTGGACCACAAATTATATGGATCATTAAAATCCTTTTGCTTGTTACTTTCCAGTAGAGGGCAGCAGCTCCCCCAAATCCCTTAATGTAATCAACGTTCCCATAAAGTATTATCAGGTAGCAAGATTTAGGCTTAATAAAATGCAGTGTAAGCTTCAGTAGAAAAGACAAGAGCATAAGATTAATCTAAAATATTGCATATTCGCTTAGAGAAAAAAAAGAGCTGTAGGGGTTCTGATTAGATTAGTTTGGTTCCCCCTGAGCAGTAGAGTAGCTAGAATAAGTTTAAAGGATACATTTTTAAAGCAGCATGCAGGTTTTTGGCAGCATGGTTCTCATAGATTTTAATTACTGAAACCTGAAGAGCTGCTTTGAAAATGTAGGGATAAAAAGTTTTTAAAATAGTATAATTTTACTACTTTGAGATCTTTGGATTAAAAGCATTGCTGAAATAGCAAAAAGCTATGCATTTGTTAATTAAGCCACACAGCACCTCTGTGAGGTGGGATCAATAGAGTCAACACTAGGGTGAAACACAGCAACTGTTTGACCGTGCCCAGCAAGAGTACAGAGCAGTTTACAACAGGGACTGAATAATATTCTGTACAATTGAAACTGCAGGAGGAGTTCATATAGGCAGAATGTAATTACCTAATTTGGAATTTGACCAGGAGTTTAGGATTAACATCTCTACTTTTACAAAAAGTACCATGGAATTATTTTATCAAAACAGATCTCAGACCCTCTACTTTTGCACTTCATTTGAGAGAGCATCTCTAGCAGGACAATGTTACATAGGACTTTGCTGGGATATTAATTCAGTATGCAATTAGGAGAAAAAAATATACCTAGTGTCTCACCAGCACTGCTACCAACAGTATCTCACCATTCCTGCCTCTTCCATCCAAACAGACATAGCTAAATCTTGATTAGCTTGTAAAATCTAGTGGGATCACAGCACAGGGTGGCACGCCTTAAAAACAGTCAAGCAAAAGAAAAAGCACTTCTTAACTTTAATTCACTTCTTAACTAAACTACCTATTTGGGTACCGTATGGTCACCATCATCATAGTATCTGACCATCTCCTAAATATTTATGGAGTTATCCTCTGTACATCCCTGTATCCCCATCTTACAAATGAGGACAGGGGCAGAGAGAGAGAGAGAGACTCTTGCTTGAGGTCACAGAGGAAGTCTATGTTACAGTGGAGAATTGAAACTAAATTTACTGAATCCCTGTCCAATGCCTCAACAGTGAGATCATATTTCCTCCCAGAGTGGGAGAGGAACTCGTCCTGTTCTGCCTGGAAATTAAAAAGAGCTCTCAGAACATTGAGTGAACTTATCTTGTAGATGGAACATTCAAAGTGATGACTATGGACAAGTCCCAGAGCCTAGATTTTCAAAAGTGTCCAGGGATTTTTGGGTGTCTCAATTTTTGGATTCTCACCACTTTCTGGAAATCAGATGCCATTAAGGCATCTCTTGTTGGGCACCCAAAAATCAAGGCACCTAATATCACTAATCACTTTAGAATATGTTGGCCCAGATTAACTGAAAAACAATAAAACTAAAAGCAAGAGTTCAGCAGTTTGACTTTGGCTGAGATTTTACACACTACATATTGTAAAATACTTACATTCATATATTTAGTCCAACTTCAGATTCACTATAATATGTAGTGTGACAAAGTAAATTGCATATAAATGTCATTAAATTCATATCAGTCCATACTTAAGGGCCAAATTCCATACTCCTTGCACAAGAAAATCTCTCACTGATTTTAAGGAAATATTTTCTTGCATAAGTCATATGGATCTATTTTCCCACTGATGCACAGAGATTTTAGAGAAACTCTCATGGCAGCAATAATACTTAGCACTTTGCCTATTCAAAGTGCTGTACAAACACTAACTAATCCTCACTATCTCCCTACAAAGAAGGTACATACTGTTAATCCAATTTTATATATGGGAAAACTGAAATACAAAGAGGTTGAAGTGACTTGCCCAAGGTCAACAGCAAGTCAGTAACAGATTAAAAATGCATACTTCGTAACATCTAGCCTAGCACTCCTTCCTCTAGACCAGTGAGTTTCCCAAATAATGGGAGTTAGTAGCTATGGGAGAATGGACATCTCATAGGAGAAATATTTTCCATTGTACTTAATTATGTTGCCTCAAAAATATATGATGAATAATACAAGGAACATCCTGTGTCTCTTTTTTGAATTGTAAATAACTTGACTGTTTGAGAAATAATTTTCAAAATAAAAGAGGCAATATTACCCCATGTACAAACTCAGTGTTTATAGCTCATTTTTAAACTCTCTCTGTGTTTATGTGTTTAGGACAACAAGCATCTGAATCCAGAAAGCAATGTTTTCATGTTAGACCTAAAATCAGCTTTACCTGTCCCAGCCCTTTTCAGAAACTACACCAGCAGGTTAATAAATTGAGTGACAAGTTTCAATCTCATGTTAGGTTAAAATGATTTATATATCACTGAAATGGTGTTTGTAATGAACAAACTTTTAAGCATGTCACTGTTAAGTGACACAAAGCCGTGAGTGGTTTATGACAAATCTTAAATCCATGTAGGACTCTTCCTGTATTATATTTTCTAAAAGTATAAAGAATGGAATTTCTCTTTTAGCCAATAATTTTTAATTAGCTATTTTAATTAGGAATTTTTCACATTTGAGGAAATGTATTCTTACTGGAACTGCAGAGGATTATAATAATATGAAACCAAAGCAATGCCCATTACATTAAATCCTGCCTTCTCAGAAAAAGTAGGGTCAGCTTCATCATGTATTTTTGCCGATTAAGGAAGGTTTTAAACAGATGGTTAGTAGTCACTTGAGCTTTAGTTGCGTAAATGATCATTTGAGTGTATGTTAATTTGTCAACTGTTTACTCTAGGTTTTGTCTACAAAATAAATCCCGTGAAAGATTATTTTTTAAAAATTATATATTAGTGATATGTTCATTTAATTCCTTTTCTCCCTCATCTATTTCTTAACTGTTCCCTCCCTCCGCTGATCCTTTAACGGTCACTATTGCATTATTTAACTCTGTTTTGGGACACAGTATGTATGAAAGGAAATGGAACTACTCAGTAAAGCGACACAGATTCCTAAATGTTTGCAGGATTAAGCCCTGAAGTTGTATTAAAATCGCAACGTGGAAACGTCCCACTTTTTCTGGAGAAGGACAATGTGTGTTTGGAAGTGACCGCCCTGTCTGCCTCCACGGTAGCAGCCGCAATTTCAGGGAGAATAGTTAACCCGGAGAATGCATCTCTGTAATTCACCTGCAACGCCCCACCACACCCCAACCACCTACCTTATTGCCACCAGCCTAGCAATCTATCCCAAAGTAGGTGTGTACACTGGGGTTGCTGTGAGACGGGAATGCTTCTGGACGCTGCTGGCAAGGGAGGGATCACCTTAGATTGAGTCATCTGTGGAGTCAGAAGAAAGTCTCTATCATCTTCATACACATACCTTTCCAAGGGTGACACACGCCAAATTTACCAAAAAAGACAGCATCACACACGTATACACACCTGATTTCCTAAATAATGTTTCTCTTGGCAGGATTGTGAATTAAATGTCTCGGGAGTTTGAATCCAGTTTTTATCCTTCAACATTTCTCAACGGTAAAGGCAGCAAGAAACACCAGGGGATCTTCTGGAAAAATGTCAATGCGAGGCTAAATAATCTGCATTGCAACAGCGGATAAATCTGGTTCATTCTGGTACAAAGTAAAAATGTTCTCTAGTAAAAAGAATCCTAGGGGAAGAGAGAGAAAAAGAAACCCAAACGTCTGAAATGTTCATAGTAGAGATGTCACACCATTGTAGAACAAAGCTATATTTTATTGGCTATGGTGAATACTGACAAAGGCCCCGATCCGGCAAACACGCACGTGCTTAACTTTACTATCCTGACTAAAGTTAAGCATATGTTTAAATGTTTGCAGGATCAGGGCTAAAACGGCCCATGAAAACTTTTCCCCTTGCATTTTTTTTAAAAGTCTATAGATTTTAGTATTTTAGATGACCGTGTCTCTAGTTCCATATCAATACAATTTCCTTTGAATCTTTAAATGTTTGTTCTAAACTTAATGTTTTAACAATATCTAAATGTCAGCTTACATTAAAACGATCAACAACAGACAGAAATGCTCTAGGGTGTATAATAAATACCAATGCTGGATGATGTATTCATCTCCTTACTTATGTAACAGAGCCTGTTGTTCATTAAAATTATCCATTGCACTTCACATTTTCCAAATATAAATTTTAAAAAAGTTTTTACTTGCTGCACTTCTATGATCAGGTCTAGCTACAATACATCTACATGTCTATCTATAGTGTTTATATTCTATGAAGGAACTATATATGATATACTGTATCTATACTCCATAGACCAATAGGTATTGAGTGTTCCGAGTATAAAACAGACTCATCAATACAGCAGATATTGTAAGTTGTAATGAACGTTGCAGCATGCAATGACTAAGAACCAACACCTAAAAATTCCTTTGATAAATAGCACAACGCCAACAAGCTTGTACGGGATATTTTTTGCTAATCTTCTTACTTTTGCCCTAGTATTGGTTGCCCCCAATCCACGCTTATCTCAGCAGTATGATTAATACTAGACGTGCATGGGTCAGGCGGGGGGTCGGGGGCAGAAAGTGTCAGACCAGTGATACGAAGCTCCTCCCCCTCCCCAGCGGCGCTGCTCTATAAAAGTGTGAAGTGGAGTGCAGGATAGCCAGTGCTTACCTCAGTGACAGGGAGAAGGGTTTCTCGTGGCAGAGCGACTCCGAGGGAAACTGCTACTTGGAATCGGTAATATACAAAGATTTTTCTCAGTGGATTATCATCATCATCAGGTACGGATCTTTTAAAAAGAGGAATTAGCTGGGGGTGGGGGCGAGTAGTTACCAAATCTGGTTTGTTTTTTTAAATGCATGAAGTTATGCTGCTGGGTTTGCACTGGCTCTTGGTATCAGTTGAAACTTGCAATGTAAACCATAGCTTTCTATGCGAGTTAAGAAAGCTGAGCTGTCAAGGGTTAAAACCAAATGCAATTACATATAGGCTGGTAAGGGAATTCGTTGCATGCTTTTAAAAACGGAGTAGCAAGCTTTTTCTAATCGCGTGAGTGAATGAAATCCTAATTTCACCCATTACCATTGGGGTATTTTTGACAATTTTAGCCTTCAGTCATGTAAGCAAGTAAAATGTTTGACAAAAGCAAACTTTGGAGGGGCTCTTATTTACTCTGCGATAACTTGCTAAACCAATATTAGCGCTTAGTTTAGCACACACACCAAGTCCCCAATGGCTGGGGACCATCCCGAGGCGTAGAGTTCACTGTAACCGAATACAACATCTATGTTAAATATACCCCGATGACATTTCTTCTCGTCTTCCTCCACCAGGATTTCAGCCAGAATGAAACTGGTTCACATAGCCCTCCTCTATCTCGGGTCCGTGACCTTCCTTGGGGTGCATGCTGCACGGCTAGACGTCGCTTCAGACTTCAAAAGAAAGTAAGTATCTAAATGTGCTTCTCTGCCCAGGGTGAGAAATGGCTCTGAGACATGGCTAATAGTCCGAGCCGTCCGGGCGCGCTCCGTCCTAGGTCAGAAGGTCCTGGGTCAGAAGATGTTAACTCCCCTGGGAATAGCACGGTGCCTAAGCCCTACAACACCCCTTTAGGAAACCTGCGCTGGCAGAACCTTTAGCCCTTTGCCTGTGCTTGGTTTGGTTCCTCCACTGTGGGCTCGCGCTAACAGCCCGTCCCCCCCTTTGCTGCTCCTTTCAGATGGACCAAATGGGCACTGAGCCGCGCCAAGCGCGACGCGATACCTCCCGGCACGTTCAGCGGGCAAGTGGCAGCTGCGGACGTGCAGCCTCTCATACGGTCACAGGACGTGAAGGAGGATCCCCGAGTCTCGCATCCCAGGTAACTTCGCGGCCACACACGTATTGCAAACGGGCCCTTGCGCAAGCCGGTGGAAAGTTTCCAGTCTCCCTTGTTCGGGCTGGTTGAATCCTAGATGTCCCCAGCCGGGGGGAGGTCCCCTATGGACCGTAAAACCTCTTGGGATCTGGCTCCGGCATCCCCCATTGTAGCTGGCGGGAGCCTAGCACGTTTGCTGTGGAAAGCCAAATATAAATGGGAACTTGAGTCCCGGATACACAGAAATAATATCAGCCACCAGACTGCGAGGTCACCTTCTCCTACAGCCAGCAAGCTTTGGGCTATGGCCTTTCCTCTGTACCCACTGCAAGCACTGGCCAGCCTTCCCTGTCCCTATTCGCACTGATAACCCCTGGCTTCCCCCAGCCCTGGAGCCCCCTTCCTCCTCCGGGAGGGTCCCCTTGCTCCGCAGCCCCATTGCTCCTCTCTCACGTCCTCTTCCTCTCCCCTGTGTCTTGCAGCAGCCCGGAGGATGCCCGCATCCGCGTGAAGCGCTACCGCCAGAGCATGAACGGCTTCCCCCACTTCCAGGCCATGCGGCTGGGCTGCAGGTTCGGGACCTGCACGATCCAGCAGCTGGCCCACCAGATCTATCAGCTGACGGACAAGGACAAGGACGGCGCTGCCCCCGTGAGCAAGATCAGCCCCCTGGGATACGGCCGCAGGCGGCGCTCGGTGCCAGCCCCTAGCCGGACGCAGTCTCCGTGGCTCGCCCTGCTCTCCAGCCGCCGGGACAGCATGAGCGCCGCAGCCCCAGGCCAGCCCGGCCGGCTGCAGGCGCAGCTCCGCGCCCCCTCTCTCTGGACTTAAGAGCTGCAGCTGAGCAGCCAAGCACCGAGCTGGCGCCACCTCGGATGGTGGCTTTCCCCGGCGCTTCAGCATCAGGGAGCCCGTGGGGCCAGGCAGCCTCGGAGACGGAGCAGGGCGCGCACCCGCAGACTTGGGGCTACAGCGGCTGCCGGGTCCCGGAGGCGCTCGGCACCAGCCGGGCCGGGCCCGCCAGCGGCGCAGCGCCCCTAGGAAGGGTCTGGAGCGCGCGAGGGGAGCGCTCACAGCTGGCTCTCTTCTCTCTGGTGCCACATCACACGGGGCTGCCAAGTGAAGTCGTGTGAACCCTGGATCTCGGACATACGGGGACTTATTCTCCCTGCCTGCCCTGGCCACTGGGCTGGGGGAAGCACCCTCTGCATTGTCTGCACCCGGCAGGGAATCGGACACTCACTAGTCCCTGCGGGGACTGCCTTATACTTGAATGTAATGGAGAGAGGAAAAGTGCAATTGTACGTGGTTTAATTAAAAGTGCTGTGTGTGTGTATAATAAGATAAATATCAATATTTAAGATGTTACTGTTTCCCGTCCTTTTTGCATCTTTGAAAAGAGTTATTTTTATACAGTATCTATTTTTGCATAAGGGCATTTTAAAAAGCATTGTATTCCCTCTATTTTTCATAGCGTGAATGTAAAATCTTGGTGTTTAACTTTCTCTGAGTCTTTTATCTTGCATTCTGGACTGGTGACAGATGTAGAGAATGTATCCGCTATTCTCCATGGGTAACGTGTGAAATAAAATAAACACTATTACATAAAACAGTGCTGTTATGGTGTCTCTGGAGAGGGTAGACAAGATCAAAATTAGTCATTTCTGACCCTGTTCTCTCCGATCGTAACTAATACTTGACACGGCACTACGCCAGTGCAATAACAGGGCTATCAAGCCATTAATCACAGGCAGTTTGTTAGCAGCCAAAGCAGCGACGAAAAGCCTCTAGCAATAAAAGCATAACCTGCGCTTTAAAATCTGGAGCAGGGCTATACAGAAGGCTCCAAGGCCTTTCCTAAGCACATGATTCAACCCGGGCTGAAATGTCTCACAGGCGGGATTGATCGTGCAAGTTTATTTTTTGCCATCATTAATCAAAGAAACAACCGCAAAGTTCCAACATTGCACAACAAAGTCATAGATTTATTGAGGGAGCCTGTTCCAAAAAATGGTCATGGCAGTTTACAAGGTTACTTATGCTGAAGGATTTCCTGGGCCACAGTTCAGGTTAAAGTTAGACGCCGACCAGATCAATGTGGGCAGGACATCTTAGCGTTACTTAAAAATTCCCAAAACCACGGACCAGAAAACAAATTCGAGATCCTATGGAGTTTGTTAATGGAGCTACAGCACCATCTAATGGTGCCCATTACCAATGCTCTGAAGTTCAACTCCTCAGGCATAGATTAAGTGCATTCAACCACCCAAGAAGGTGGAACCCCACCCGCTTGAAGCATACCATTGCTTTTATAGACTTTACAGGGGGTATCATTTTTAAGGGGGGGGGGGGAACAATTAGTGTCTCCTTTATCAGAGCTACCTCTACAAGGAATCTGCAAAAGGTGGAGATGCCCCCAGCTGTTTGAACAAAACTTGCAGTTGTGTGCATCATCTTCTTGTGTTGATTTGTGTACCCACAAGTTTTTATAGGCACATTTTAGAGAGGCATTTAGTGTTAACCACTTCCCTAAAAAATTCTCAACTAAGACTCCTATAGTCTAGAGCTGTGGGGATTTATACAGCTAGTTTTTTGGTTTAGGTTTTGATTTTTACAAACTGGCACTTACATATATGTACCAAACAGGTGGCAAGTAAAATTTACAAGAGAGTTTTCCCATTCCTGCTGCTGGCCTTTCTGATCCAGATTTTGTGGAAAGCAGAGAGAGGATGGGTGAAAATAACATTTTTCAAGCACATACCTAAAACATTATCCCTTATATGCTGATCAGGCTTTCATTTCCCACAGAAATGAGTTGTCTCATGTGCAAATTTCAGCTGGTAGCTGCCAACTACAAAGCCAGCAAGTAGCAACTGTAAAAAACAATTACCTATATCAAGATCTTGAAATAAGGCTGGCTTCTGTAGTCAAAAAACAAACAAAAAAGTAGGGTGTTATAAAGAAAGAAAATACAAAGGATGAAATCCTAGTGCCACTGAAGTCAACTGAACAACTCAGACTGACTTCAGAAGGGCTAGGATATTGCCCATATTCTCCTTCTGTGGGGAGCAATGATTTATGGAAGGCACTGTCTGCAGTTACATAACTGTGCACCCTACGTGACCCCAAAGTTGTAATGTGAGGCTATAAGAGGTGACAGGTTCTGTGTTTGCTTTAGTGGATAATAATCTACAGTATGCACATTCCAGCTACCTGTTTTATTGTGGTTTTTTTCCACATCTATTGCCAAAAAAACAGTTCCTTGTTTAAAAGGGGATACTTTCTATATTTCTCTGCAGGGAAATACCAAAGCTGAGACCTGCAAGATCCATGGCCTACTTGGGCATGACTGAAGCCAGCAAACTGGTGCTAGGTGGCATGGCACTGTTTTGATCTCCTAGGAGTTTAATAAATAGGCTTCAACTTAAAAGGATCAAGAGTGCCACCTGCTGCAGCTGAAGGGAGCAGCAAAGGCCTATAAATGTAATAGGATGGTACCACAGTAAGGATTAAACATTTAAAGAAAAGTAATCTGTTTTTCTTCTCTATTACTTTTTGAAAAGAAGGGGGTCTATTATGTGTAAAGAGAAATATTGCTGAACTCTACATGCCAGAAGATGTTGGAATGCCCTTTGCAAGAGAACAGGTGTTGTTCATTGGGTGAGAGGGAAAAGGGATGTAACCCCAGTAAACGCTTCGGGGCAAAGACATTTACTATATGACTTTGTTCAGTGCCTAGCATCGGGGTCCATGAACTGATTGAGGCATGTAGGCACTACTGTCATATAAATATTAAAACTGAATATTAAGCTTGGCTCCCCACTTCCAGCCAGGGTAGTTTGGACTTCTGAAGCAAATAGAGCTCTTCTGTAAAGCTCCTTGGGGCCATGGAACTAATTTTAGGTGGTAGAGGGAAGGAAACAGGTCGTGTTAAGGGTAGCTGATGCCTGCCATATATAATAATAATGGATTGGAATATTTCATTTTATGAGAGAAAATGGAGGGGCCTGACATCCATAACAATCACTGTTTGGAGTTCCCAATTGATTATCCTCTCAGGTGGGAAGGATGTGGGGTGCATGTGTGGAAGGGGCCGGGTGTAGCTTCCTAACTCCACTGATTTTAGAGATTTGCAAGGAAGGGGAGCTGCCTTCCTAATAAGATCCTCAACCTACCATAACCCCTTCTCTGAGGGTGTGGGGAAGTGGTGAGACAAGGTTGCATGGAAAGAACTCAAGATGATGGTGCTGCTGTCTGCTACCTCTGTGGGATAAGGGTAGATGAAAAAGCCAAGGGCACTAGTAACTTCTTTCCCTTCTGCCCCACGGTCCATCTCCCAAAATATCACAGAATTGGATACCCATAGCTCACCGAGTGGTTTTGCAGGGGCTAAAGCTGTGAAGGTAGCACTCTGTCCTCCTCTACTTTTTTGCACCCCTCCCTTGGCAAGATCAAGCCAGCTAGGGTCCTCTCTGCCTGTTGACGTAGAGGGCGTGACTGGGTGTTTAAGGCTCTTCTCCACCATGGACATTCTAGGCACAAATACAGGCCATACATTAAAATATCAGGTACAAATAACAGTAAAACCAATCAGATACCAACTTACACCAATTCAAAGGCTAGGCCAAAAGCTCAGAGCAATACAAAGGCTTTAAAGCTCTGTCTAGGAGATCAGTTCTGTGATCCTCCTAAAGATCAAATGAGAGTATTATAAACCCTTAGGCTGCAGATGCAAACACACAAGCCAGATCTTCCTGTACAAGTCACAGGCTCTGACTTGCTCCCAAACCATCTGCCCCAAGAAGGTGAGATGGTACATAAAGTGCCAGAAACTCAATAAGAGTTGTGTGCAAAGATCAAGGGCAGCATGTGGTCCAGTGTGATAGGTGACAAGTGAAAGATGCCATCACATGTCTCCAAAATCAGCTGCATCTGTTTACATGGAGCCTCAAGTATCAATTTCAGGGGACAGTGTGGAGCCTGGTAGGCCAGCACTGCAGAGGCAGCTTAAAACACTGTTACAAGTTCCATATAGACAAGGGCCTAAGTTCAAAATTATTTTTGTGATTGGAACTATGTATTGGAATATGAGGTCATCCTTGCCCACCAGCCATTCCAAGAAGGTATGCCAAAAAAGTGATCACCTTTCTGAACAGAATCTGAGTGGTGATGTGTCAGGAAATTGCTGCTTTCATTCATGGGATCTCCTTTCAGAGCTGTTACATTCATTATGCTATCTGGCTACTCCAGAGAGGGTAATATGGCAAAGACAAAGAACACCAAATTGTTCTAGCTTGTTTTTATTACCTACCTACATTTATTTCAAAAAAGAAAATTTTTGAGGTTGCATTATTACTGCTTTAGGGGCCTGCAAAATGGTGATATCCCAGTGCATTACCCATAAAAACTCAGAGCATCACTTCTACTCTGGGAGAAAGGCTTTCAGTTGTATTTGTCTCTCCAGCAAGGTAGCATATAAACATAGTTCTAGAAGCTATGTCACTTGGAGGGCTAAAAGGTATTCATAATTCACATATAACAGAAGGAGATCAAAGAGTGTTTTTACTTTTACCAGATGATTATTAAAGCACCTGTACATATAAGTTATACCCAGAGGTATATTCTCAAACTGATGATCACAAAAATCTGTGAAGCATCTAAGTCTCCACTAATAAGAACTGCAACATGATGCCAGAAATAACTTTTTCTTCAAGAACAATGACAGAGAAGGGAATACTAATGAATATTTTGGCACATATGTAGAATTTTCTGGCTCATTCAGTACTCAAAAGACAGAAGATCATAATTAAAGCCAATAATGGCAACTCCAGACAACTGTCCAAATATTTCCCTTGTGCGGTCAACACAGCATTTTATATGATCTAACATCATAATTAAGTAGTGCAGAGCACACATGCATCAAGAGAAAAATAAATTCCAACAGGGATGAATGCAGCTAATAACAAAAAACAATTAAGTCTAATGGACTTTGTTTATTATGTTCAAATGGTTTACAGGTTGCTTTTATTACCAAAATATTTTAAAAGAACTATTTATTTCACCAAATAATTTGTCTTAGCTTTGAAGTTTTGAACTTTTAAACACATAGCTCCTTGGAACAGAGTCATATATCCTGCGGTGAGGAAAAAGAACATAGTTTGTTCATGAGGTGAAGACCTTTGTTACGTAAAGGACCTTTTAATACACTCTACATCATTCGGTAACACTATGAGTGTCAAGCGTTTTGAACAGTTTATAAAGAGATACTACTAGTGTAAAAAAGATTATCCTTATGATTAGATACTGACAAAATTGCTTGACTTCCCCCCACACACACTAAAACTCCAGAAATGTCACCAAATATGTTTGAAATGTGAATACTTCCCCCCCCCCATTTTCACTGCAGTTAGCAAATTCAGTATTGCTTCCCAAAGCTGCCAGTTTGCAAAATGCATATAACTTTTTCAGCAATTGTATTTAAAAAGTGTATTTTTTTCTTAACGTTTTCCTAAGATGGTTAAAAAACATGTGGCTGGGTCTTACTCTTTGATGACCGGTAGTATAACTGGGAAGAAGAGAAAAAACAAG